TATAAGATATAAAACTTTTGACATAAGTGTTTCAATGTCATGAACTCTTATAGCACCACTATATAATAGTCTAGCAGATATACTATCCCAGTCTATATATTCTGCTTTTTCAAAACTCTCTCACAATATTTTTGTTATCTAATGGTATACGTTCCATCTTACCTATAGGTATCTTTTCTTTTAACTCTTTCAATATATTGTTTGTGTCTGGAATATGTTTGAGACGGTTCATATAGTTGTCGAAGTCATTGCATATAATCTTTGAGTCTGGGAATATTATATGGCACAAATGGGATATATAGAAACTTCCACCGAACAAATCTACAAATGTTAGACCATTCGGTAGTTTCTTAAGTTCTCTCAATATAATATCTTTACATCTACTCTTATTTCCAAAGAACGGTAACGGTGGTTTTGTAAAATTCATTTATATATAATAATAAAAATGTTTTTACCTGAAAAGTGACAGAAAAGTAACAAAACATGAAAAACATATATAATTTGTGAAAAGCGACACATTATATAATGTTTTCGACCCAGAAGAAGGCTTTCCGAATAAAAACTTCATTTATACTAAACATCTTCAGGGCTAGAGGGCGCAACGCGCCTGGAAGCCCTCCGAATAAAAACTTCATTTATACTAAACATCTTCAGGGCTAGAGGGCACGAAGTGCCTGGAAGCCCCACTACCTTTTTTTTTTTTTTATGTTTGTATAGATTTGTTATATATTGCAAACAATACGCTTCCATTTGCTGATATAATTGCGTTTTCTGAAAATTTTAAATACATATTTTTAGGATGAATTGTTAAATTAGTTAATTTTTCAATTGGAATGAAGTTAACAATTATCGAGTTTACATTTTCTGGTATTTGAAATGAAGTAATTTTAGTTCTAAGAAATGAAATTTCTTGTAATTTTTCTAATTTTGATCCTTCTTCAAAATTAACACAATTCAAGCAATAACAAAATGAAAATGCGCCCTTACCTATTATTTTAACAGAATTTGGGATTTCAACCTTTGTAACTTTATCAAGGTTTGAAAAGGCGAAATATTGAATTTCTTTAAGACCATTGGGTAAAAGTAAAAATCCCATGAATTTCCATACTACAAGTTGGACAATTTTAATTATAAATTAAAATAATAATTTGCATTCGCATTACACATCCTAAGTCCAAATCAAACTTGACCGATATGTAATGATAGCTAATAATATATACTTCAATGCTATATAAATGAATACCCTTAGAAACAAATATAAAGAAAGATATGAATTTTTTAAATTTTCACTTCACCTAAAATCATTCCGATCCGTAAAGTATTGAAATCTATCCCTTCAACATTAATACACAATCTAAATGCAGATTCAGATATTATTTTAAGTTCACAACAAGAAGATAAATTAATGAGGATGTTTTATTGTCGTCTAGAAAAAGTGACAAAATTATTATTGTCGTCAGACGACAATAATAATCTTTGATTTAAAATTTGTACAATTCATTTCTGACAATTTAAATTAGATAGGAACATGCGCTATTATATATAGAATCGTGTTGATATGAAGTGGATGTATTGTTGTATATCAATGCAACTTGATCACATTAGATTAAAGTTGTTTTTGACATATAGCAGATATAATTCATGAGCGCATATCGGAATACCTATAGTGATGCATAAAATATAGAAATGAATGCAAAAACACATATTTTAATTTTTGGAGATTCTTTATCTAATTTTATTAAATGGTAAGAGAAGTGTTTGACATTGTCAGATAATTGTGTTAGATGTTTATATACAGTTTTTAATGTGTTTAGTTGTGTATCTCAAAGAAATAAAAAATGGAATATATTGCAAATCTCAATTATAATAAATGGTAAGGTTTGAGTAATAGTATCAGATCTCAGAAACAAAGATGAGTTATGTTCTAATGTGAATAAATGATAAAATAATAAAACCGAGTCAAATGGATTAATTTTATACATAAATTTATGGTTTTATGGTTTTATGCTACACATAATGAATATTCGTACTCTGTAACCTGCAACATGTCTTCTCTAAGAAAAAAATCAAGTATTATAACTCCTTCTATAGAATATCATTGCAAAATTGTATTTTCAACTCAACTTTGTTTTGATTTACTTTTTTGCTTATTTGATTTTAAAAATAAAATATATGATTGTATTGATGATCAAAGAATTCTTTTTACTGACTTTGAATTTAATTTGATAAATGTTGTCACTTTTTATTTTAAAAAATGTTCAAAGCGCATATCGCTGCTTCAGTATTTGATTTTAACATAAAACAATACTGTCTTATGTTAGACTACGTAATGCATTGATGATTTATTATCAAAATGTTGAGGGATTTTGTAATAAACAGAAATTCATCAAAAGTGACAGCTCTCAATTTTTTGACATTTGTAAATTCTAAATTGAATGAGAAAAATGAAATAATACTAAGCATAATACAATATTCTAGATTTAATTATAATTAGGAAAAAGTTAGTTTTGGGAGTACTTTTCATAGGCATATAGAATGAAATCTTCTGAAAAATAATATCACATAAACTCATATTATTTTCTAATATATAACTATTTTATATAAAAATCAAATTCAATGATCTTAAAAGCGAAGGATAAACCTCAAAATTTACGAATATAATGAGTGGGAATATAATGCTTATCTATCATAAAACCATATGAAATATCAATTTTTGCTTTACGCCTAATTTTTGACGACAATTAGCAAAAAATGTTAAATGTTAACACTCAGTCCATTTGAATATGAAAAATAAAATTGACTTTGATTAAATGTTTTTATTTATCATGCAATTCTTCTTGCGACCAAAGATTTGAATAAAATTTCAAAAAATAAGATAGCTTAAAAAATAATATACGGTAGTGTTTACTAATAGATGAATTAATAGTGGGAATATTGATAAAAGGAAACTAATTCTATTTTCGATGTTGATTCTTAATAATTTAATACGATTAAATACATTTACGAACACAAATATTTTGTTATCTTCTATCCTGAAATACTTATTTTTAGGAAATGCCTCATTTGACGTCCTACAGAATGAATAAGTAAGATTTTATTTTACTTTCATCAATGTTTAGTATTATACAGTAATAAGGATTATAAACTATAAAGAATTTAATTTTATAAAAAATATTTATTTAAATGAGTCATCTTTTCAAAGATGTTTTAATTATCTATATTCATTCACATTTAAGCTTTGATAATAATTAAATTTTCAATATCTTTTTAGTATTAGATCTTCGAATTTAGAGATTCATAGCGGAAATATAAGTCACTATAGAATCAAGTTAATGAAATTGTTGATCATAGTTAGTATCCCTATCTTGGGTACGGCGGCACTGCGTTCCACCTTACCCAAGATAACGGTTTGACACTTTACAAAACCGGTAACGTATATTTTACAACACAACCATAACACCAACTTAACCTTAAATATTTACAAAACCATCTGACACATAAACGACTTCACTAATGACTTCACTAACGACTTCACTAACGAATTCACTACCCTCCTCACTAAATAAAAATAACCTTATTTTTATTTTTTTAAATTTTTTATTTCATTACAAAGACATGTCCGACTACATTTACTATGACTCTTTCCCAGAACGTTTCCGTGAACTATTCAAAACTCAAGTAAAACTGAGAAACATGCATTTTAACAAAGACAGACCCATTGACGATGAAAGAAACCCTGAATATATTACAATCCCATATGACGCAAAATTCATTGCATACATTCCTTATGGTCGCAGAGGAACGAAAACTATTTCAACAAAGAACAAAAATTATTTCTGGAGCGATGAAGAAAATTGCCTTATCTACATAAATGCATACTTAAATAAAGCTACATATTGTACAAAAGAAGGTTGGACTGGATTTGAGCTCTACATATACGACGATGATGGAAACAGACGTTGTGTATACCCATACGATAATATGTACCATTGTTTTCATCAAGCATTAAACGAATACATAGTCAGTAAGGGTCTCATTCCTGTTGAGTAGATATGCTTTATTTTTGTTCTGTCATTTATATAAAAATAAAATAAAAAATAAATGATATCACCACCCTCACACGTATGAAAACATAGCACAAAAATAAATTTAGGGTAGATGGGTATATCTAACCCGATTTCTAACCTCATTTCTATCCTGTTGAATTCATTGCTTTATAACTCTCTTCCTTTCTCCAACTCTTCTAACTTCTTCCTAAGTTTAGCAATGTTGTCCTCATGAAGTTTAATCTTTCTCAAAATTCCTTCTTTATCTAATGGTTGCTTTATCTTTCTAAACTGAACTCTACCATCCTTCATAGTATGAATGTAAAAACCTTCTGGAATAGTTCCTGATTTAATGTATTCTACCAAAAACTTTTGTTTCATTGCTTCAGTGACTTTAGTCGTCATTTCAATCAAATAAAAATTTTAATATTAAATAAAAATAACGTTATTTTTTTCAGTAAGGAAACGCAGGAGTTTTACGATTTATTTGAGGAGTAGGTTCTGGTTTAAATGTTGGAGTCGGTTTAGGAGTTGACTTTTGAATAGGAGTTTGTACTTCCATAGGTTCAGGAGTCATTGAAGGTTTTGCTTGTGAAGGCGTTGGTTTTGACGTTGGTTTTGGCGAAGGTGTTGGAGTTTGTTTAACTTCAGCTACTTCAGTATTATTTACAACATTTGCTTTATTTCTTTTCAACATCATAACTGCTCCTGCTGTAGCTAGCAAACCTAGTGGGAGACCATATCTTATATAAGGACTTGACCAAATGCTATTTTTGACAGGAGCTGGTGGAACACCTAACCTTGGTGAGACTGCTCTTTGCCATTGTGCAGCTCGTAAGAAATATTCAATAGGTGCTCCATAATCGTTTGGTAAAGTTTGTTTCATAGATGGTGAAGGTTCACGAGAGCTTGATGAAGAACTCATTTATAAGCTTTAAAATAAACGTTCATCCTTTATTCCTCACTGTCGTCCGCAGCTAAGTTATAGTCATCTAATCTTATTATTGGGATTCCATTAGCACGCACCTGAATGACAAAGCAACAATCCCTCATAAATCCAATAAGTGGCTTTGGTACATTTTCAGTTGCTAGTTCAATAGGTCCTTTAACAGACAATTTGTATGTTATTGGAGCAGTAGATGTTTGACCTTGCTGGAAGCAAAAGTCCACTTCTGTTGGAAAACCACATAAGAAATGTGTGTTGTCATAGCTATCCCATTTATGTTCCACACTACCATCATCCACCAATGACCTCATAACATCTTCATTAAATCCAATCATATCATTGTTTGTATTGCAAGCGTTCGCAACCATTTCATAAAATACAGGTCCATATGATTTTTCAGGTTCTGCAGGCATATTTCCATAAGCTCCCATGGAAAGCTGAAGATATTTAAACCTAGGGTTCTCAAAATTAACATAATAGTTGTCTTTCTTTCTAAATAGTGCCCAAATACTTTTAACATTAATAGGCGTATAAGCTGCTGTAAATGTTGCACTTGAACTATCTGTATTCTTTGAGAATGAACCGTCCATAGGAATCCAATCCATAACTTTAACAGGAAAACATAAAGCCTCGTTTGTATAATGTTCTACAAGTTCTGTATAAATGTTAGGGTCTAAAGAGAATGATTTTGGATGAATGAAACATTCATTAAAATCCATCTTTATTCGAAATAGTTGCTGGGTTACAGTTGTAATAGTAACTGTTCCACTAGCTTCTATTGCCTTCGTTATCATAGTGAATGGTTCATTCCATGGAACAAATTTATTTGTCGGTGGATTTGAATCTGAAGCAAATGCAACTTTAAGAGTTGGATTGAAAGCAATGATATCATTTACAGATATAGATGTGCATTGTAAGGCGTCGCTACTGAACTTTACTTTAAGCTGAATGTTTCCTCCAAAAGCTGGAATAAATCGAATAGCTTCTAATGGAATGAATCTTCTAACAGGAATTCTTAAACGAAGCTTAAAATCAAATGATTTTCCTGCTGTAATTGGACCACTAACAATTTGTCCTGTTCTGCATGTTCCCGAATGACTCCATACATCTTCATGTCGAGTCTTTGAGAAAACATCTACTTTCTTTATTTGTTCGGTAGTTTGTGAGTTTGAAGTTATATATGCTTCTTCTCTTGCGTTGTCTTGAGAATATACGATACGACCATTTGCAAGGATTTGATATCCAGCAACTGCATAGAAAGCGTCATCGAAACCAATCCAAAATCCTGGTGGGTTTGTTTTATTGGAACCTGAACCAATTTCTTTATCTACAATAAATTGACCTTCCATTTTATACGTAATGAATGTATTGTAAAGGTCCAACATATTTTCACCAGGAGGTGAGAGATTGAATGTTACCCATGTGTTATCTTTAGCAGTTCCAGGTTGTGATGGAATCTTTGCGTCAGAAATATTTTCTATTAGTGTCACCAATTTGAACTGCATTGTCTATGATATCGAAATATGAGCGAATCTGATGAATATGCTCTGCTGGAGTAAATTCGTTTAGCTGTTCGTTCTGCATGTATTTACTTCAGATAAAAATATCTATTTACTTCATTATTCTCACTCTTCTTCTTGGCATTCGTGGTGGAAGTTGTTTCTTGACATTTTCAATGAACTGTACATTCTCTTTTGTCTCAACTTCTTTCACTGGTGGGTCAGGGTTCTTTGACTCGGTTTGCTTTTCAATGAAATTCACGAACTTTGCAATAAGCTCTTGGTTCGTTATTGAAAGAACATCTGGCTTCTTTTCTTCTGGTTCTATTGACTTTTCAGTTTGAATAGAAGGTTTTATATAGGCTTCGCCCTCGGTGCCATGCACCTTAATGTTGTCGCTCTCTGTATTCGCTAATGGAACCTTTCTTTTTCTTACATATATTTTACCATCTTTACTCTGACTTACGTAATAGAAAGGATGTTGTATTCCTCTGGCGTCATTTAATATAATAGACTCTCGCTCTGATTTTGACAAGCTCATTTTACACCGGTTAAAATTTTAATTTTGTTTTTTATCTGCAGTCAAATGACTCAGACAAGCCCTACGGACAAGACCCAAGGGGTCATAGATGTTGAAGCATTGAAGAAAGAAATTCGTGAGCAAATTTTATCCGAACTGAAGGAACAAAAACAAGAACAAAAGCCAGAGAGACCAAAGAGAAAACTTAGTGAAAAACAACTTGCTGCATTAGCTGCTGGAAGACAAAAGAACCCACGTTTGCTGGCGAAGAAAGCTAGAGAAGAAGCTGAAGCAAAAGCTAAAGAAGCTGAAGCAAAGAAAGAGTAAATGTGTTATTTTTATCGAACTAAATGTATAGACAAATACCTTTATCTGTTGTGTTCAGTAGTGAAAACCCTGACGTCAAAATAAAGGGGAACAGAGTAACGTTTAAGTTTCCAACAGACTGGATTGTGAACATAAATGAAGAGAAGTACATTGGCATAACATCTATGTATATAACACGTGCTTTCAGAAAGGTTGACTTTATACTTCAAGTCGAGATAGAAAATGACGAACAGTCTTTTAGCGCCCAAAACATTCACATATACAAATACTTTAAAGACGATACAACATTGTTGCAATGTATGATTTCATTTAATGAGATGTTCGAGAAAAAGTTCAACATTGAAGTACAAACTTTACAGCCTTTACGTGAGTTTCTTGCACAACTGAAAGAAGAAGGTAGTCAGCCACAACTTATAGACTTTCATTATGAATTTAATGAAAATGAAGATGGAACACATGACTGTCAGTTTGTTGTATTCTCACCATTCAATGAAGTCGCTAAAGAGAAAGAAAATCCATTACGTATAAGATTTCAAATCTCTGAACCAAGTGATGATTTCAAGAATGTTTTCAATTATGATGCAATGCTTCCGAGGAAAAATGAATTTTCAAAGATTGTAACACCTGGCATTTGGATAGAAAGCAAGCTATATTATATTCAAACTTAAGTAAGGGAGTTGAAAATGAGTTCATTGGTCATACAAGAAATTCACCATTACCAAATCCTAAATACTATAAATTAACTGGCTTCAATCGTGAGTTTTGGATAGACATGTACTCAACTCACGACCATAAATGTCCAGTGTTCTTGCCTCCAGATGGGAAGGACTGTCTCTACATTGAAGCACAACTCTTAAACTCTACCATCGCAGTATTGTAAATGACCACATGGGCTTCGCCCTTGCCGCTAGTTTTATTTTTATCACGAATGACCTCATTGCTGACAAAAATAAATGACCTCAGAACTTCAACTTACGAATAAAGCTTGTTTTAGTCGTTATTGAGAAGTTAAACTTCTCTTCAAAGCAAGGTTGACATGACTTACATAAGTCAAATCCAATCTCTTGACCGTCATAAAGTGCTTTATATAACTTCATGACACTGAACTCAGAGTCTTTGTCAAATTTTCCTTGCGGAACCATTAAACCTTTATCTTCATCATAGAAACACTGAACAGAGTCAGGAAACATTTCATTAGCGGTTAAAGCAATAACATCTTGCTTCACGCCTTTCATTCTGCAGTGAAATGCAACTTCATTTAAATCATTCGTGAGTAAGTCTATGTAAGTCTTCTTTCCACAAAATATTGACTTGTATGCTAAACTTTGTTTTCCAGGTGTTATTTCTGCAAAGTCGCTATGAAATTGACCAAGGTTTTTACCAATGAGAACTCTTCCATAACGTTTCTCAAACTCTTCAGCTAAACGAGGGATATCTTCATTGTAGAGATGCATACTGTCCGTATCGCTATAAAAGATGTCCATTCCTAAGTCCTCAGCAGTACAGAATACTTCACACATTATTCTCTTCGACATAGACAGAATGTTAACACCAAGTGGACAGAAGTTAAAGTGTCTGCAAATGCTTTTCGTTAGCTTGAAAATAGTTTTATCTGAACCATCCAAACCTTCGAACTTCACTATATGGTTGTAGTTTCTGATGGCATATCTTATAGCATCTTTGTCATCTACTATGGTTATTTTTGACTCAATAGGAGATAGAATAGTTTTGCCATAAATACTGTTCAGAATGAGCTTTATATTTTCTTGCAAAGGATTTCCTTCTTTCTTATACTTTAACCTTAACTCAAACAACTTCTTTACTTCATCTCTTATTCTAATATCTCTGTTTCCATCGTAATAGTATCCTTGCAACACTTCACATTTGACACCTTGATTTTTATGAGGTCTTGTAATGTTATATGGTCACATACATTAAACAGCAAGTGTTTGAACTTCTGGGAACGTTAAGTTCTGTATTTAGTTCAGGGTCACAAACTATTAAAGGAAAGTGTCTATGTATTCCAATCTCTGTTATCTTAATGAGAACAAGAAGCCAGACATAAACTTTTCACCAATGGGTTCCTTTTGGTCGTCATCGAATAAATGTCTCATGAGATACTCTGTGCTTAGCATCTCATCCTTCATAACCTTTTGGAATTCCTTCTAAAGTATAAAGTCTTGCTATAGCGGATGGATATAATGAAACAGCGTCGAATCAGCAATGAGTTTCTTTTCGCCTTTTGTTTCATGTTATCTGACAGCATACATCTTCCACCTTGAATGCATCTCGAAATAAATTCTCTTGGTTTATTTGAGAGGTCATATAAATTTCCATTCGGGAAGTACACTCTGTTCTCAAACAATTTGTTAGCAATAGAACAAATACTAACGTAGTCATAAACGTTTAAATCAAACTCTTTCAATAAGTCATTGCGGAACTTTACAAAACCTTCTCTTAAAATTCTTACATCTTGTTTGCAGTAAAACGTGCTATATTTTTCTAAGTCGAAGTGCTTTTCATCTATTCTGCAACCTTTGATGGAATCTATGTTTTTCATAAATGTATCTGCATCCTGGATAAACTTACATGCTTCAGAAATGACACCAGTTCTGTTGTCATTTGCTAACAAAGTACTGCTGTAGTAGTTGTATGGAAATACTTCTTTCGGTCCTGTTTGTAAGTTAAACATAGCAGGAAATAGTTTAAGCTTCTTATTTATAATACTGTAAGAGTTTTATAATAATTGCCCGTCCTTTATATAAACCAGTTATTTGATTGTTCGTGAACCTTTAATGATGGGAGTTCCTTTCACTTCTGTCATGTGTCTTAAGATGAAGTTTATATCATAGCTGAGGTTATGGAAATATATTAAACTCTTGTCAGGAAGTCGCTCCAAAATTCTGTTGCACAGTTTTGACCCCATATGCTTTCACTCACTGAACCATCTTCACTGTCGTAACAGATGTTAAAAGCTTTATGAAAGCCGTCTGTGCTACACTCAAAGTCAGCAAAGAAAACATGCTCAGGAATGAACTTACATTTAGCTTTATTTTTCTTTTGACTCGGCTTTCTTCTTTCAGTTGTACACATACTTTGAGCATATGTCAAATCTTTAAATGGTGCAAGGTTCTGGTTTATATAAGTCAGTCGTATATGTGAAAAGTTCTCCATAAGAAATAGGTTCGAAATATTTGCACTCCCACAATTTTTCATAAATCCATAGCGGTGTAGTTCTATCCATGCGACTACATATTTATCTTCTCTCTTTGTATAAATCTTCATCTGTTTCTCAATGTTCATTCACCACACTCCTTCAAGATTTCTATATAGTTGCGAATGAAATATGTTGTCATTGGAAGTCTTTCATTTAGCATGTAGTGTCTTCAACAAGAAGTAAAGTCATAGTTCGAACAGTTTCACATTCTTTTGGTATATATCTCTTTATTTCATTATGTCTTGAGTCATTGAAATAACCAATGGTAACATTAAATGCTATACCAGTTGCGTCAGAAATTTCTTGTACTTTACTTTGAGGAAAGTCTCTAACACGAATGACTTCTCTCATGTGTCAATAGTTTCTTCATTTACTCCAGCCTGAATGCAAGCATAAACGAAGCAGTTATCTTCTGTCATAAGTGTTGCAGTTCTTTTGTTCAGTTCATTGAAGATTTGGTAGCGCTCAAGATTTATAGGTAATGTGCAAAGATACTTCCAGAACTGACCGCTTCTTTCTTATAAAACTTCTTTTCACCATTATCTTTCCAAAAGCTTTCTATAAGTGCTGGGTTTCCTGTTTGCTTAAGAGCTTCCAAAATGGCTTTCTGGTCATTTGTCAGTGTGCTTTCATCTCTATATGTTCTCTTTTTTGGTTTGCCTTTCTTTACATCTGACATCGTTAAGCCTTCATATTCTGTTAAATCATACATCTTTATTTCAGTAAGATTCTTTATGTTTGTCAAGAAGAAGTCATAGTGCATTTCAACAATACCTGCAGCATTTGCTTCTATCTCTGATATAAAGTTCTCCTTCAAGAGCTGATGTAGTAATGTTCCAATATTATTGAGGTTTAACGTAGAACATTCATACTTTCCACCAAGTTTATAACATACCATCCATCTTTGTTGGGAGTTTATTTTAATCTTCTCTAAGAGTCTCATGAAAACCTTACGAAATGTTTGTGTAAGTAGTCTCTGTTTGGTTCATCTAAAGCTTCGATGTTAAAGTCAATGAGTCTATTGCCTGACTTCACATTTCTCTTCCTATTCTCTTCATCTTTCTTTAACCATCTCTCACCTTCTTTTGGTTTGTCGTCAATGGAACGAATGACATCGTTAGCTTTGCGAACTTGTTCTATAGCGCTCTTAAACATCTCTCTTCTCTGTTGTTTCAGTGTGTCGTCTCTTCTTCTTGTTTCACCAACGTTTGCATTTGTTATGTCAAACATTTCTCTTCTTACTTCATGAGGTACTGAACGTCTATGATATAAGTCAATAACAACGTCATTTAAAGGAAATGCTCTTGCATGGACTTCGTCCTCGCCGCGTTGCGGCTTTATGAACTCATGAATTCTATCATAACTTATTGCACCATTATAGTCATTGAGGATGTCAGCGAGTGCTTTTTGTTTGTTGCGTAATGCTTTGCAACATCTATATTAGCTTCTGTAAGAAGTTGTTTTATTTCCGTGTTCTAACTTAGACAACTTCCGATACATCTTTAGTAGGAAATAAAAAAATATTTTTTGAAAAAAATTAGATTAGATTTTTTAAAGTATTTTTCAAAATAATTTAATATTTTTATTTTAATGAAACACATGCAAGATTGCAAGTTCTTTTCATACAATGCTCTCGCTACTACCATCAAGAATGAGTTCAATAATGCTTCAAATGTTAATGTTATCTTTAACAAGAAGTTTGTGAAAGAATCTAAGTTTGGTCAGTATGTCAGACCATTAGCTATCGTCATTGACCGCAAACGTTATACTTCACAAGAGTTAGCAGTAGTTTTGAAACAAAAGAGTTTCTTCGTGAATGTCAAAGATACTCATTATACTGTCATAAAGAACTCTAACATTGACTTCTTCAGTATTGCTTTAAATCTTTCCGAACAGAAAGAATATAAGAAGGGTGAAACATCTGTGAAATATAGGGTGTCCAAAGGTGTGTTTAGCACAAACCTGAATACTGCGAATAGAAATAAACAAGTTACATATATATAAAGTTTATTTAAATATAATCACCATTGGATTCAATCACGCGTTCGCAGCGATCGATCCAGGCTTGAAAGACACGCTTTAAATCATCATGAGAAAATTGCTCAAATTGCTCTCTTACAAAATTTTCAAGATCATCTGGACTCGCGAATTCGCGTCCTTCAGCTCTCTTTTTTAGCGTGCCGAATAAATAAAAGTCAGAGGGTGCAATATCAGGTGAATAAATTGGGTTTGGAACAACTTTGACATTGTTTTCCACCAAGTAATTCATTACCTTATGACTTTTGTGAACTCTTGAATTATCAAAATGAATTGCAAACTTTTGTTTTTGTTGTTTGGATTTCTCAAACTCATCAGAATTGATAATTTGAGTAAGAACATTGTCAATTAGATACTGAGCATTCATCGTATTAGGTTTTTGAAGAATATCAATTGCGATGATGCCATTCACGCCCCAAAAAACCGACAACATCATCATTGGTGTGTCAATTTTTTTCTTCGGGAATGTTTGCGGATTTTCATCCTTCGGGATCCACATGATTTTGGCTTCTGTTGCATATTGAAACCAAGACTCGTCCCCTGTTACTAAAAAGCGAAACTTCTTGGATTGATACGCACCCAATATAGAGAGGAGCTCTTTCGAAGATTGGACTCTAGATTTTTTTTGAACTGAATTAAGGTTGTGCGGAACCCAACGTGTATACGCTAGTTTGTAGTTCAAATAATTGTGCAGATAATAACTGACTGTTGTACGTGGTATCTTTGTCATCTCCTCTATCCTTCTGAGTGATGCTCTTGGGTCTTCATCTAGCGCTTGAAGAATTGCTTTGATTTTTCTTTGATCCGGCGATTTTTTGTCAATTTTTATGATGGGCGCCTTTTTGTTCATGAAGTGATACATCCTAACATGATACGTTACAGTGGAATAGCTAGGAGCATCCATACCGAAGCATTTTACCAATGTCTCGTAGATTTTTTTACAGTCTTTGCATTTTTTTGCAAGAGCGAGGATGTTTTCTTTATGATTCATTAAAAAAATGAAAAAAATCCCGCCAAAATTTCCCGCGAAACCGCCTCTTGTCTCAAAATTCATTTTATATCCCGGCATGGCGCCAAAATACAACATACTCATCATATACATATATTCATATTTTTTATTATATATTTATAATCAGCATATATCTCCTTTAATAGTCTCATATAGAGCGCTGTGCTAAACGCACCTTTGGACACCCTATATTATCCTTCATCTCTGAAGACAATAACGAACAAAGATGTTATACAGAAATTCTTACCAAAGGTTGAAGAAGCTTCTATTGACATTGACGAAGGAAGTGAAATGGTTGAAGAAATAGACCCTGAAGCTATTTAAGCAAAAATATATTTTTGGTTAGTCTTCATATGGATATTTTACAACAATTCCCCAATGTATAAACTTTTCATACGCTTTTTCATAAGCTTTATATACCTTCAGAAATTTTGCATAATCTTTAGAAGCATTTAGATATTGTTTAAATGCTTTGTATGTCTTCAGAAATTTTGCATAATCTTTTACATGTTGTTCGTTCTCTTCTTCTGTCATGAGTTCCGAATATTCTAAATTCATGTTCTTTCATATGAGATAAATTTTATAAAAAATATAGCTTAGATTTTTTTATTCTTCCTCTTTGAAGTTATCGAAATATTCTGTTATTTTTTCCTTCAGTAATGGTAAGTCTTCTTTGAATGTAAGTATTGTGTAACCTTTGATGTCATAGTGTGTTTGAGGAAGAGTATTTTTGACAATTTCCTTTATTTGCTCATTCGGTGTCATTGAAATCGGTAAGTTGTCACGATAGAACCAGTTTCTGTCAGATTTATATATTTTAGCTAAGTCATAAAAGCTCTTGTTGTTTCTTCTGACTAAATGCAACATAACCATATCTTTATCTTCTTCTTTCTCCAACTCTTCAGTATATATCATATACTTATAACTCTTTTCCTTTCCTTTTGGTACTGAACGCGGTATTCTTTTCTGTATGCTTTTGTCTTTGGATTCAATGACTTCATCTTTTGCTTGAAGTTTCTTTTCCATCTCTCCACGTTCTGCTTTATATAGTTCATCTAACATCATGAAAATATAACAAGCATAACGAGGTGAAGCCCACATTGCTACAGCATTTACTAAAAGTCTATGAACATAATATCCTTTCAAACCAGGAGCCAAATTCTTGCGATTTTCGTACGGAATCTCTTCTCTCGGTTTTCCGAGGGAAGCAATCATATGAGGAAATTCTTCTAAAAGTTCTTTTGTCTGTTGGTTTTCAAACCAATGATATGCTTGCTTTGTAGAACGAAGAGCATTCATTATACTTTGCATTTGGTACATGTCATCTTTGACCGAACGAATGAGGCGTAACTGTTTGTTATACTGTATGTACTCGTATTCTTCATTTATGGCTTCATGAACGATAGCAGTTGTTGTGTTCTCTAATGTTGACATTTCTGTTCTTACATACAAAATAAAAAAATAAATAAAAATAAAACTAACTTTATTTTTCTGTGTTAAAGAAATGTTAAAAATTCATGGTTACATATGTGAAAAGAAGTCACGAACAAATGAAGGTCATAAGATTTGTCTTGAAAAAATACAAGACTTGTTCTGAAAAAATACAAGACTTGTCTTGAATCAGGACAAAACTTTACAAAATGTAAACTTTACATAACCATTTCTATCGTACATGATATTTAGTTGACATTGTAAACTATCTTCATGTAAAGTATGGCGGTTTGAAACCGTCGGGAACCTTCACTTTTTTGACGAAGTGCGAATCTTCACTTCGTGTCATGATGCAAAAATAATGAGTTCATTTACTCACAATATTTTTGTACAAAACGACCCCAAACTTTTAACTTCTTTTCTGCAGCTTCTAATGCTATCTTAGCGAGTTCATATTCTCTAAATTCTCTCTTTAAATCTTCTTGTTCCCATTGGTCTAGTTCGTATGGAGAATCTCTATAATCATAACATATCTCACGTTCATGTTCTAATTGTTTTTCATGCATTTTTCTAACTTCTTGTTCGAACAAAGGTTTAGCATTCTCTACTGTATCTTCGAGTTCTTCTTCATCTAACTTCTCATGAACTTTCTTGTCTATGGAGTCCATAATATCTTTGACATAAAATGCATACTTTACAGAGCACCATTCAGCAACAAAATGAACGAAGTCAGGATGTATGTAAATACCTTTGAATTCATTTATAACACCCTTAGTAAGCTCATAAAATGCTTGTTTTGAGGTCGAGCCACTTTTGGCTCGACCGTATTCTTTCAACCAAAACTCAAGAATTTCCTGCATTTTAGTACTATTGAGAAATCTGTTTAAATGGTTTAACTTTCCTGCTTCTCTTGCCATCTTTGTTGCATTTATATAACCATCCTTGTCTCTACGTAAGACTTCAATACCGTTATAAGTGCCTTTTGTGAATGTTTCGCCATTAGATTTGTTCGTGAATGTTTTTGCTTCGACTGACATTTCTGTTCTTACCTACAAGATAAAAAGTTAGAAAAAAATAAAACTAACGTTATTTTTTCTGTCTTAAGGAAATTCATGAGGGTAGAAATGAGGTTAGAAAAGTGGTTAGAAAACGTGTTAGATCTAACATTCTAACATAAACTTTATTTTTGGTGTAAATAAATGGTACCATTAATGATATCATGACTGTTCTCGTTCATGTCTGATTTACATCTAATGAAAAAGTTTAGAAGAATTTTCTTATTCTTTCTGGCATATTTTTGTCTTTCCAGTACTCCCGCTCTAATGGTCCCAGATGTGTTGGCTTCGACTCTCTCAAGTTCTTAGATGGTATAACATCTTCAACGCCTCCTTCATATCTTACTTTATAAGTGTCATCGTTTGTGTTATAGCCAAGTATTTCAATAACCACTCTCGCTTTGCTTCGTCAATGGTTTCAGCAAGTTTGCCATTACTACTTTCGACTAATTTATGACGAGGGTAAAACGCAATAGAGTCGTCAGCAGCTTTTATAAGATATCCATTACCTTGCGTAGAGTCTACGATATAATAGTTTCTACTTAACCTTAAACGTTTCTTTGTCAACGGTTTGTCGTCAAGAACTACACGAACTTTTGTACCAGGAATGAGGGTAAATTGTGTTGAATTTCTGATATTTTGTGTTTGGCTTCGTTTCTTTTGTATATACTTTTCTTCTTGTTGTTGTGTCATTGAATTTGGTGTATGCCCTGTTGTAGAATGTGTTGAGGAATTGTAAACTTCGATGAAATGTTTCATTGTTTCTTCGGTAAAGTCTCGCTCTTGATTTAAATCTCTGAGCGTTCTTATGAAGCGGTTTATGATGCCGAGTATGTTATGGTTATGGTCTTCAGTAGTGTAGTGAGTTATGTTATGCTTAATGAGAAAATCTGTGATTTCATTGCTGAGGTATGCACTGTCTTGGTCTGATGTTAAAGTACTTGGGCTATGTTCTGCTACAAACTTTTGTAAAACTCTTAACACTTCACGAGTTCCTTTATTCCTCATTGGATATGCATATGCTTTGCGAGTGTTAACATTAATGAAGATGAGGAATGGTTTATGTCCTCCTTTTCTGCTTTGAATGAGAGTGTCAAATTGGTATGCGTCAGGAGTGTTGGAGTAAATTGGTAAAAAGTAGTCGTAAGGGTTTATTTTTGTTTGATGTACAACATTTTTGTCAAAGAACTTTTTAACTTCAGCTCTGTTAGTAAATCCCCAACTTTTTTCTGCTTCATTGAACTTCTTAAATGACCTCCATGGATGTTGTTCGAATACTTCTTTCAAGCTCATTTATGTAAAGTTAAAGATTTCATTGAACACGGTACCATGCGAATACAGTCACAAATGGTGGCATATAATCTGCACCCGAGCCTGTTGGATTTGTTGTGAAAGTGTGTGAATGATTTCCTCCTGGTTCAGTTGGTCGAAAAATCTTTTTTGCCGAATTGTTATAAGATGGAGATAAAACGTCATTGCCAGCTTCATATTCTGAGTTGTATAATGGGTGGTCTCTTAATGAGTGGCTATGGTCGCCAGAAAAGTTTGTAGTTCCTGTATGAGTGTGCGGTGGAAGGTTTGCTTCTTTAATTTTCTTCGAACCTCCTGTTTGCTTTGAATATCTAGCACAGTATAAGAATTTGTCTACAATCTGCTTCCACGTACCAAAACCTAAAACACTTGCTGGATTTGTTGAATTCATTGACGTATAAATAGAGCCTATAGGATATAATGTTTGAAGTATTTCAGTCTTTAATGTTTGAAGCTCTGTTTTGTCTGCTTTCTTATCTAACATTGTTGGTAGTTGATATGCTTCAAAGTTTCTGGCATGATCTTCGATATTCCTGCAACTGTTATCTAAATTGTTAAGAGTATCTTTTACGCTTGTACTTGGATTTTCTAATGGTGCACTTGAACCAAGGGTATAGTTCAATATTATGTCGTCTGCTCTAACAGTAGTGAAGGATTTATGTGTATGGTTCTTGTCAGCTTTATTATCATATAAATCTTGAGCAGTGAATTTAACATTATTTTCATCATCCATGACATAAACATTTTTACAGCTAATTTCTTTCTTCGTTGTTATGTTTTCATTCGATGTTAAACCTTGTGGAAAGTTAGGAGGTTTATAATATAAAGCAGCCGCGTGCGGCGGGGCTCCGCCCTCCCCACCAGTTCCTTCAACCGTTCCTTCAATACTTTCTATAGCAACAGTTGAGAAGGAGTTATGTGTATGTTCTTTATCTGCTTTTTTATCTAACATTGCTGGTAGTTTATATGTTTCAAAGTTTCTGACATGACCTTCAATGTTCATACATTTACTATTTAAGGAGTTTAGTGTATCTTTTACGCTTGTACTTGGATTCTCTAATGGTGCACTTGAACCAAGGGTATAGTTCAATATTATGTCGTCTGCTCTAACAGTAGTGAAGGATTCATGTGTATGGTTCTTGTCAGCTTTACTATTTAATGTAGCTTGAAGTTCATTTATATCGGAGATATTGTGTTTATGAGATTTCAAAACTTTGTTCGTTGCGTCAAGTTCATCTTTGTCAGCTTTACTTTTAATAGCATCTTCAAAAGTTATTTTTGCCTTAACTCTCAATGTAAATCTTGGTTCAACTAATACACCGTTAACAAAGAAGTATGAAGCATAAATTTCATTGTTATAACCAAATGCTTCTGGTGCTTTACCCGTGTCATACTGTACAGTACAGTGTATGTCATAACCTTTAGCACGAATGAATTTATATCTTCCTTCATTAACATCTTCAGTGCTTATTTGTTCATCCTGTGTTAAATATCCATGGTAGTCCGTTATAATCTGTTCGTCTGAACTTATATAATGAACATGGTTTTTATCTGCTTTTTCGGCTAATTTCCCTTCTATCTCATTTATTTCAAGTTCATGCCTAGCACCACCTCCCGAAGAAGTATTTTTCTTCAGCTCTTGAAGAACGTCCACTTCGCCATCTTTGGTGTCAATAATGAGACTTTGAGTTAAAACCTTTCCTGTCTTAATGGATGTTTGTAAAACTTCTTCTTCACCGTGTTCGGGGTCATGGTCGTCATCATATCTTGTGAAATCAGAGATGTTGTCATACATTAAGCATATCTGTCTCAAAAGTTCTGCTATTTGAAACAGGAACGAAAGATATACAGAACTTTCATCATCTCCTAAAGTCAAGTCTGCTTTCTTAAGTATTTCTTGAATGTATGCAATGAGAACAGAGTACCTTGGAAAATATTCGAACAATATTTCATTAGCTGTTGGTTTTGGTGGTTCTTCTGGTTTCTGTTGTTTCAGTTCCTTCTGTAGGTTCTGTTGGAGTTTCTGCATCTCTTGACTTCAATGCTCTTGCTCTCAAAGACCTAAATGTTAGAGCACCAGGTTTTACAAAGGACTTTATAAATGCTTTAATAGTTCCTGGTAAGTTATTGTTAGCATTAAGTAAGTTCCTTATGCTTCCATCATGTACGTCCATAGCACTATGTAAAAAATCTATACTTTTCTTCTTGTAGTCAGCAATAGACTGACTGTGATTTTTTAAAGATTTGTCAATACCTTTAAGCCAATCTTCATGCATGTCTGATACTGAGCCAAGAATATCATTTGCTTCCTTTAGTGTATTTTGTGCTTCTCGTAAAGTATCCAATCCCGTACGTGCATTGTTTGCTATACGTCTTACAGTATCTATTTGACTCCTTGTTTCTTGCATCCAACCAGATAAAGTTTTAATAGTATCCGAACCATTTGAAATGAAGTTCAAAGCATTTTTAACGTCATCTAAAACTTCTTCACCAAGTACTGCCCATATCTTTCCGATTTGGTATTGAAGAACTCCATATGAAGCAGCTGTTAAACCAGTATTTATAAGGTTCCATATCCATGATTTAGCAGTTTTTCCATCCTTTCCATCTTCCATCCAAACCGTTTTCGCCTTGAGGTCCTTGTATTCCTTGTATTCCTTGTATTCCTTGTATTCCTTGTGGTCCTTGAGGTCCGGTGTCACCCTTCTCTCCTTTCAGTTCATCTTTATGTTCGTTATAATATTCTAATGTCATAAGGTGTACATCATTACTGCTACCAGCAACGCCGAGAATTTGTTTCTCATTCATGACTAAATTCTTTAGGCATTTAATGTTGTCGTCAAATCGAAAGCTCTTTAACAATTCAATGAGAACATTTAATACTTTCACTAATGAGGCATCTACTGTAGAATTTATATATTGCACCGTTCCATCATTTATGATGGGAACCTTGCTTGTTGTAATGAATGGGTCATAAGTGTTAAAAGTATCGAAATCAATGACTTTTTTAGTTTTTCCATCGTCAATGACTAAATCATTGCCTTCAATGGTTAAAGTTGAGTTTTCGTTTACTAGTTCATGTGCTCTTCTTGCTTCATTTGTTTCATACGCATATGCAGCAATAGTCATATTTTAATGAGAATAAAATGTTGTTCTATTTGCAAAGTACAGACCCAAACGAATACGGGACAGTAAAGCTACAAACAAACTTAGGTCTTCAGAATGAAGCGCTTGCTTTCAGAGTTGTTGACTTCAATACTATCGCAACTTTTGTCATAACAGATGAAACAGATTTCATAGAGATTGAAATAGATGACAAAAGAAGTGTTATAACATTTCCTAACAGAGCTGGGTATAGAATAGATAAAATTGCTGGAGTCATAGATACTCTCATAAATGAAGAAACTATTGACAACATAGATGTCGAACTCTCTTCTGAGGGAACATTGAAGTTCAGCAGCGAGAAAGAGTTTAAGATACCAAGAATGAGTCATAGAGTACAACTTCTTTTGGGTGCATACCATATGACATTTCCTTTGAAAAGTGTTGACAAAACGATTGAGATGAAATCTGTTCCATACGTATGTTATGGTAATTGTTTGTACATTGAGTCAAAAATAGCTAATGTCACAGGTATTTCAGGAGTTAATAGTAAAGGTTCAGTAGAATATAAGTCTTTCTGTTATGAGTCAATTCAATGTTCATTCCAAACGTTCCTGTCATAGCAACTCATTTAGGTAAATGGGTTCGCATTAGTCCTCATAATTTGAAAGACATGCAATTCAGACTTGTTGACTTTCAAGGAGAGCCTGTAGAACTGAAGGCACCAGTGCGAATGACTGTTGAAGTTGACTTTTTAGAAAATATTAAATGCAACAGCTTACAAGAGAACTCAGAGCTAAAAATATAAAGTATGAATGTTATGTATTAGGTCATGAACTTTGGTTGTTGCTGTTTGATGAAACAAATGAGTTAGTTATGTCAGTCAAGAGAACAGAAAAATATTGTGTTAGTGAAAACTGCACCAAGTCAATAAGATTAGGTTTGCATTATGAAGATGAGTTCGATACTGTTGAAGAAGTTTTGGATAGATATTACAAATTGCTAACTTGAAATTTTTTGACTGACGGCGCAAAGCGCCAAGATGGGCTCAAAGAGCCCTCCTGACTGCTTTAATTTACTAAAACATATTTCAAACAAAGCTTATAGTCAGTAGATAGTTTTGTATACTCGTTCGAATATTTATACTTAAACTCAACTCCTGTAGTTCCTGGTGTTTCAATGATGCGGATGTTACCTATTTTCATGAATAGTGGAGTTTGACCACAGCATTCGATTTCAGGGTCGAGATAGTCAATGACACATTGTTTCCCTGTTATTCGTGAGATAACATTTTCAAGGTCCTCCTTTGTTAGAATTATTTGGTTCTTACTTATAAGATTTGTCAAAAGCTTCTTATCGTCTTTGAGTAAAATTGTTTGGTATAACTGAAGAAGGTAATGGTCTACGTTATCTGAAGGATTTGTTTGAACATTTGTGTAAGGGTTGTCGTTGGCTTCTCTTGAAAGAATTTGGTCCAGTGGTGGATACTCTAACTTAACATCTGATGTAGCGTTAGCGTTTGAAGCTGTGTTTAAATTCACCGACTTAAGATCTGGTTCTTTTTCTTTCAAACACTCCGAACTATAGTTCTTTATGACAATATTGTTTGTCGTTCGTGAGTCAACATTTGATGTTGGTTCAATTGGAACATTAACGGCACCAGCTAAGATGGATTTGCTTCTCATTTCATATAGAATAAAAACCTTTTATATGTATGAAATGAACAATATACTCGACAAGGGTTTGAATGTAAAGCTAACGAATGAAAATATTGTTGAATTCACTGAGACAGGAGCTGTGTATAAAGATGTAGAACTACTGAACAAAAGAGCTAAGGGAAGAAGCAGGAATATGAACAAAGGGTGGAAGCCTATAAAAATTTATGTCAATGATGGCTCAGGAGGTTCAAACATAAAGTATGCAGAAAGTTATAGAGTTTATGCTCTCAAAGGTGAAAAGCCTTCATTTAAGAACAGCTATTCTAACGCATATCCTCAAAAGCTAACGGATGGGGAAGTGGATGATATGAATGACAGCAAAAATATTAACAGAAATGGCGACAGAGATGCATGGAATTTGTTTACCATCAGTCAATTGAAGGTTAAACTTTAAAACAATGTTGGTCGTTCCCATGGAATATTTTTGACTTTAATGGTATTAGTCATGATATGAATCTCAAGGTATGAACGAGGAGAGATGAGAGACTTATATGCTTCCCAAATTTCTTCAAAAGGTAATGTTATACCTGACTGTTTCCAAATGAGTTCAATATCATAGCGTGAGAAACCTTGAAAGATAACGAAGTCAGTTATGAGACGTTTTATGTTTAAAGCAAAAAACCTGTTTGCATAAGTATTGCTACAGTTAAGTGGTAATGTCTGACTTTAGTAATGATGTTAGCTAATGGTGAGTCTGGTTTTGACACTAAACCTTTTCCGGCGAAGTCGTCACAAACGAGCAGAGTGTTTGAAGGATACTTTTTGAAGGGGTATTTTGAAAGTTTTGACAGAATGTAGTTTGTAAGTCGTTTCATATCGTAAACTCCTGAGTATGACGTAAGTGGTGTTTGTCAATAATTCTTTCCATCTCTTCAGAAGTCTTTTGCATTCCTGACTGTATAAATTCAACGATGGCATAATATTTCCTCTTACGTCGAATGTAACGTTGAAGAAATTCAATGAGTTCACTGTCTGGAACTTTAACGACAGAGGCTTGAACTTTTGACATAAATGTTTTCGCTGTTGAGTCCATAGAGTCTGAAGTTGCTGATATAATGATTTGGTCATAGTAAGAGTCGTTTCCTAAACGCTCTGTTATGAGTATATGACGAATGAGGTTAAATGTCTTACCTGAACCCATCTTTCCACAATAGAAATAAACACCATTTGAACAGAACTCATA